GACTGTAATGTAATTTAACTTTTGTTTCAAATCAACTTTTAATAATACAAAATAATTAAAATAAAATAATTCAATAACATGCAAATTATTATTATTACAAAATAAAGCTTTTATTAGATTATTTACAAGATAAAACAAAATAAAATAAGCACATGTTTCGACAGAGATAATAATAAAACTAGCCAGTGACGTTTCTCGGCGTCTTCTCCTAGCTTTAGTACAGCCAACATTTTCTTTTAATTGGAACTACCGCATCAGATACCCTTGGCCAATTTCGGCGAAGACCAAAATGTCCGGTAAAGATCTAGTAGCGAGGTTGTAAACGAGTTGGTTCGGATGACCATTGAGTTTAGAGTGGAACATTGCATAGAAGATTATGGAAGTTTCGTGAACTCTTTTGGCGTTTAAGTCTGAACAATTATTTCGATTAATGCAAACGTTAATATTTATGTATAAAAAGTTTAAAAAAAACCAACTTATCTAATTAAATAGTTAAAAATAGTCGTTAAAATGCTTTACAATTATTGTAAATATAACATTGAAAAAAAAAAGTTATAAGGGCCCTTTTAAATGATATTATAAACTTCAATCAAATTCTATTTTACTCAAAAACAAAAAAATACTTAACATGCATATCTAAATTTAATATACAGGTTGCTATAATGACCTTGAAATAACATAGTATTACAAAAACCAATAAAAATGATCGACATAAGTTGTTCTTTTGTTATTGTTCTAGAAAATCGTCAATAAGTCGGGTTGGCCGTGAATTTCTTAAGACCTTGAATTTTTCGATTCGTATATTATTCTCATTCATGTAAACAGTGGAAATGGAAACGCACATCGAATCACCCAAGTGTTTTTCTGTAGTAAAAAAATTGTGTTTTCGAGTTGACTCTTAGGCGAGAATTCGATAAATAATACTTGCATAGAAACTCATGCTTTTGAATCTTTGTTTACTTTCTCGGTGTAACTTTTGTAATGTTGTTCTTTTTTCACGTCGTCGTATTTTAAATGATCCTCCTCCAATAATTTTTGAAAATTCCACAAATCAATATGTTTCCTCTATTCGTTACCTAGGTTTTATTTTTGATACTAAACTCCGTTGGCACCCTCCATTTCGAAATATGCTCTCCTTTATTCCTAAATGGTCCAACCTTCTATACTCTTAAGGTGGAACCGATTGAGGTTTCCATCCCACTTCGTTATTATTATTCTATGAGACAATGATCTAAATCAATATAGGTCTATAATTGATTATTTGAAAAAATTTTAACGAGTAGAACGATTATTTTCAGACGTGTACAGATTCCCACAACCAGAGGCCCGAATTTGGGTTACCCTATCATAACGTGTAAGGTTTTATTTTGTGCTTTCAATTTTTGTTGTATGAAATGCGCTAGTGTATTATAAAAAACGATAAACAGCACACGGTTGGTAATATTTATATAACCATTACGGTATTACTAGTGTTTCATATAGAAAAATAATATCACTGTAATTGTTACAAATTCCAGTCGAATCTTTTTGATTTATTCGTACTATTGCACCGCTTATATTTTGGAATATAGTCGTCTATTCCACAAATTATTATTTTTTTTGCGTTTTATTTACCTTAAGTTCGTACCGGTATGAAAACACCGGTATGTACTCACATAATAATACACATAAAAAAGCTGCATGGTTATAGATGTGCACATATTTTTCGTACTATTAAATGCATTAGTATAAAAAAGACCTTGAAGTTTAGTCGGGTCGGGGCATAGTAGGGACGGAGAGGTCACAGGTCCACAGATTTTATTATAACAGAAAGTGATAAAATCACTTTAAAATAAACTCTTCGATGCGAATCTGTGGATAGTATGTTGAAACCAGTTATAGCGGTTTAAAAGATATCGTGAACCAGCAATAATGTACTTTAAATTTAATATTTAGTCTTGTGCAGGGTGGATACCCGTGTATCGTAATTAACAATATAATGAAAATATTTTCATTACCTGTTGACTATTGATTCACTCACACAAAGCTACCTAGAAACTGACTACTGCCAAAGCGTAAATTTACCCTAATTTTGGGGTTTTCCTAACTATAGATTATAGACTTATGAGAAAATTGTAAATGTTATAGTTCCATTTAATATCTACCTTCGGTCTAATTTTCAGATCTTAATCTCTAAAACTTTGCTTGAAAAAGTGAAATAAAGAAAAAAATGCTATCCCTTATAGGGGAAAGGGCTTATGATATTTTTTGTTTTGTTAATGTTTATCGATAGTACTCTGTTTGAAGAACAATTCATTTAAATTTGGAACTTTCTCGATTATTTTTAAAAAAGTTATAGAGCATCGTAATTTTAAGTTGAAAAATTTGTACATATTTTGGGTGTTTTTTTCGATTTTGATGGGGAAGGGGTGACTTTTTTGAATTTTTGGCCCGATAAAGTACCTTCCAGGTATGATTTCTGATCTATAGAGTTGCTACATGAAGAAATCGGTTCAGCGATTTACGAGATATCGTGGATCCAGACACAAAAATAAAAAATAAAACTCATAATTGTAAAAGCAATATCCTCGTAGTAGCCCTTATTATTACAGAGAGCCTCCACTGCAGCGGAAAGTATGAGAGGTGAAGTATATAATTAAACATATATGTGAGAAGAATAAGTGTTTTTTTGGGGAGATGCTTAGTGACCACGTATGTGATCAAGTCGAAACCAGGATATTTTTTATTGGGAAATGTAGATATGCAATGTTTAACTTCGGCTGGAGAGAAAGATTTTGGAGGTAGTGTCAATTGGAGTGGGGATAATAAGAAGTTTTGTATTTTATTAAGAAGTTCAGTATTTTTTACAGTTTCGTGGGGCTTAAAAACATTTGTTAAGTGCTTTTGGAAAAGTTCTGCTTTTTCCTGATCATTTGCGGCCCATGAACCATCTTCATTTCTAAGTGGAATGAATGTAGGTTTGTCTTTTACGGCTTGTTTGGTGGTGAAAAAAAAAAATTGTGTTATATGAAATTCATTTTGGGGCGGTAGACTGCATAAAAACCAACACTTAATCTAGATCCAATAAACAACAGTCCTCTTTATAATTTGCAGGTAGTTGAACATAATATACTAATAGTTGACCTTCGGTACGGTCTCCCGCAGGCGATAAAATATCGAGATAACGACGGTTGTTTTGCCGTGTCTTAATAAGTAGACGGATCGGTTTTTTTCCCAATAAATTGTGTATCTACTGTAATCAGTTAATCTGTATCATGTAATAAACACAATATTATGATACCGACAGTTGGGACCTAACCTATCCTAACATGGGTCGACGTTACAAACCGCAAGTTATTAGCGTCTGTTCGTTTTTCACATCTGGTACACCATGATTGTAGTTTAAAAAAAAATAAATAATAAAAGGTTCTAAAATAACGGCTAAATAACTAAAAAAACCAAAAAAACTTGAAACTCCTCTAGGGCGGGTGCGAAATGGGTTTAATTTAAATTTGATACAACTGACGTGTGCGGGCATACCAAATAAGTATTCATTACCCCCCCCCCCCCCCAAAAAAAATATCAACTAGATGAAATTCGCTTTTTATAGAAATGCTACTCGAAGGAATTGGTCCAGTATTAAAAAAGTTACAGTGTACACAGATAAAAAAAAACACTCATCAGTGTAAAACCAATACCTTCGCCGCTCTGCATCGAAGCTAATATGAATTTATATCATTGTATCTTTTATGTATAAAATATGTCAGGATAAGTATCAAATAATATAGGTATTTGATGCACTGAACATAATTATTATTATTATGTAACTGTCCAGATCTAAAAACTTAAGAGTTATTTTATTTCACCGTTTATCATTCTGTACACTTTGGCCGTGTTTTAAGCAATGTTTTTACTTTTTTACTACTCTTTAAGTCTTTTCCTGTTTAATATATACTGGTTGGCCTCTAAACGTTTCATTTATGTTTTGTACTCTTGAGTTCCTAAATAACCGTCATAGGACACACTAACATATTATCATTCTTTCACACTTTTAAACTTCTAATAACCAACAGACGTCAGACCTAGAGTATCAAAGTACCTTTAATGCTCCATGCCACATGTACCTCTCATAGTGAAATTCTAATTCTGACTTACACTACATTACACTACACTTAATCAGTACTTTGTTTGAAAAATATTTGTCCAAAACCAGGTATGAATTCTGATCACTAGATACAGCCAAAAGGTACAATGAAATATAACGACATTACTTAAAAACGAAGCTCTAGTATCAACAATATAAAATATTAATCGTTTCTCAATAAAGTTCTCGCACATGATAAGTTTAGCTCTTTTTTTTTTTTTAATTGTATTTCATGTAGAATTTTTTATACAAGTTATTTCATCGATAAAGGCATAAATCACATCAAGGACAAAGTCAGCGAGGAGTAGTTCGGTTTGACTATTTCTTTTTGCAACAATATCGAGTGTAAAATGCCAGCACAAGAGGGTCGGGGCATGGATTTACTCATTTTTTTTTAAACAACTGTTACGTGAATTAATGGTGAATAGACGCAATAAAAAATATTTCTAACAGAGTGTCGTTTACACACTTTACCCATTTTAACACGTTTTTATTAACACACTTTCTTGTTTGTCGTTCCGGGTGAAATGTTGCAACTCAAACGATGGTGATAAGCTTGAGATAAGTTTTATTTACATCGATATGTTTTTTATATACTTTTTGATATAATTAGATGTTATATTAATCATAATGTAGATGTTCTACTTAATAATGCTATAACTGTTGCAGTTCCGTACAAATTCGACCGTTTTAAAAATTTTGTCTTAGAAATAAAAATAATGCTACACAATTAGTAAGTAATAAGTGTATATTTGAAAAGAAACAGAGATTTTGGAATAATTATCAGTCGTTATGACATATCATATTTTGAAACAATTCTTTAATAACAATTTATGAGATTTAAAAAAAAAATTATAACATTATTAGACATATAAACTTATTTTTCAGAATGAACTTTTTTAGAAATCTCCGCCTGAACTATTTTTTGTTTTCTTTTTTGGTAGATGTAATCACTCAATTTTTCATTTAACGTAAAACGTCCTTCCTTTCCAACCATTGCGGCTTTTCTTTGTTCAGCAACTTTTGCAACAGGCATTCCTGATTTTTCACAATGTATAATAAAAAGATCACGAAATATATCTGGTGTTATGGAATCTAAAACGAAAAAACATTAAATTTTATTAATTATAAATAATACATGTTATCATAATGACACTATATGTTGTAGTTGTCAATTCCATAATTTATTTTAGCTCCGATGTGCAGCTGAAATTATATTGTTTTTGTAATAGTGTATTTTTATTTGTCTAAATTTGTTTCTGGACGAAGGGGCGGTCATTTTTTTTTTAATTTTACTTTAATTGAGCATACTTTTGGGTCTCGCCACATTTAATAGTATATTGAATATTATATGGTATTTTTGAATGAAAATTGTTTCTTAAAAACAAAATACTACTTTACAGTTTCGCATCGGAGATAAAAAAAATATTATTAAACGACATATAACGTGTGTAAAATTTTTTTACAATATTCGCTAGAGTGTTGTATCTTATAGTATGAATTTATAAAATCCCACTCTTCAAAGTTGTCACCCATGTATTCGTAATAATCAATATATCCAATTGCTTCAACTATAAATCTTAGGTTGTACACTTTTGACATCTCTTTTCTAATAACCTCGAACGCCTCTTTTATAATCTGAAAATTGTTAATCAACACAAAGTTTAATTCTAAAAAATTTTAAATTTATAAACTTTAAATACGATTACCTATATAAATACCTGATGATTAAGAATCAATAAAAAAATATATATGTATACAGGGTGATTCATTTTGGGTAAGACACTAATTATCTCGGAAAACATGTACATTTAAAAAAAAATAATTTCCTATACTTTTAGGTACACCTTGTACTATATTTTTCAATACTGTGAAAATTTGAATCTCCAACCCTTATACCAAAAAATAGAGCAGGACATCACTTTTTCAAATGGCAAAATATCTTTTAAATTCCATAAATTTGTAGACAAAAGTTTTTAAAAAAATGCTATTCTTTGAATTTTTAATTTTTATCCATTTATTCGCTTCAATAAGATTTTAAAAAAAAAAAAAGGTTTTTTTTTAAAAATAAATTTAGAAAATATTTAAATTATAGTAGCTGGTATTCCAAGTATTAGCGTTATTAACATTATTTTACTGAATGACTTTGTAATATTATGTAATAATAATGATATAGATAAGATTATAACAAAGTAAGCAGAAAAGCAATACAACGTGTGTAACATTTTATAGCAAATAAAAAATATTATTAAATTATTAAAGACTTATTTGTTTTCGATGAAATTTATAAAATAAAATTGCTATAAAATAATTAAAATATACTTTAGCTGTTAAAAAATTACATCATTATATGTTTTTATGTTTTAAAACCAAATAAAAAAAATATTTAAAAATTAATCTGGAATTATTTCATTTTTTTATACAGCACAAAACGTATACTTTAAGTTAAAAAAAATTTGCATTTACTATAAATGTTCGGATTTTCGGATACGAATAATTAATATATTAAATCATAGAGTGATAGAACTTATAATACTTAGTAATTTACAAAGTAGTAAAGTGTAAACATTTTTTGGGTTAAACATTTGTTATATTTATTGAATTTTACTCGAATGATTAAGTTACGACTCTAGTTTTAATTTAATATAATAAAACCATTTTTTTAACAAACAATATTAGACAATTATTTTTAATAAAAGTATTTATGACAAGCATTTTATTTGTATGTCTTTTACCTAAATTAATAATAGTTTCCTAGAAAATTTTTAATTGGGAGTTTTTGTTCATTATATTATAAAGGATTCTGAAAAATATTAAAAAAAACCTAATAGTTTAAAAAAAAATAAAATTAATTACCGCTAAATCCTTCGGTGTGACATTAATTTTCTCTTCAGGTATAGCTGAACTTGATGCTTCAGGCTCAGTTTTCCCTTCAGGTGCATCTAAACCTGATGCTTCAGGTTGGCCTGTATGCATACAGCTAACCGCTAAGATAAAAAACAAAAACGAAAGAGAGAACTTTAAAAACATTGTGGTTAGTCTATAAAGTATTATCTGAAGTTAAACTGCGAGATAAATCGAATAAATTTTACCGTCTTTGAATGCCTGTTTTATATCGAATTGAAACAAATAAAGAATATTATACGAGTTCTCATCTTTTGATTTTTTTTTTGCCATTATTTGCACAAAATTGCATATTTGCACACTAATTTATTCGTTGTTTAAAATCAATACTAACATACCTACCAAAGTTTTAGCGAGGTGTGTTAATGTATTTTTTTTTACATCTTACAGAAAATTCATTTATTACACATATATTTAACTTCCATGCCACCAAATATTAAGATTATAAATCTCTGGGTTTTAATATGTTTTTAAAATGTCTAGTAGAATATCAGTTATCTATTGCCATGCATTAGTAACTAGTGCTATACTGTTTCATTGTTTAAATTCACTTTTTTTTCCTCTAAATATAAAATTTGGGTTAGTACAGAATTAAAAAATCTTATTCGTTAAAAAAAATAGCACACTTATTTTCAAAAGAGCTCGTCTTTTTCAAGTGTATACTATTTTTTTCTAATCTTCGCAAACAGTGTGAAAATCTAAGTAAATTAAACTATGATAAATATTTAAAAAATGTTCAAACTCAATTAACGTTAACAGTAAATTTTTCTGTAGTTTTATTAAATCATAAACCTCTATTAGCTCTTTGCCCCAAAACTTGTTTTTTAATGGCATTAATGCTAGTAATTGACAAAAACTAGTCGATTTATGTGCAAATAATTTTTTGTACCGTTTATACTAAATCTGAGATACCCCTAAATGATCCAGTAATTTATCATAGTAACTTAACACATATTAACTGTATTAATTTATCATACGATGATTAATATTTTTCTGTTTATAGCCTAAAATCATTTTTAGGCAAACAAACTGTCTTTAGGTACATTGCTTTTATCGAAATTTGTATTTTTATCTGTGAACACTAATCCTCTTTTACTTACTCACTTACTTACATATACTATTTTCTTACTGTGCTAAGTTTTGACTGTACCGGTTCGAACGTACTATCCACAGATTCGCATCGAAGGGTTTATTTAAAAATGATTTTATCACTTTCATCACTTTCCCTTGTCATCAGTTTTAATAATTCCTGAAGACCGTGACCTCACCGTCCCCACTATACCTCGACCTAACTGAACTGTCTTTTTTTGGAAAAATTTTAACGAGTAGAACGATTATTTTCGAACGTGTATAGATTTCCTCAACCAGAGGCCTAAATTTGGGTTACTAAATCATAACGTGTAAGGTTTTATTTTGTGCTCTAAATTTTCGTTGTACGAAACGGGCTAGTGTATTATAAAAAACGATAACCAGCACACGGTTAGTAATATTTATATAGCCCTTATGGTATTACTGGTGTTTCGTATATAAAAATAATATCACTGTAATTGTTACAAATTCCAGTCGGATCTTTTTGATTTATTCGCACTATTTCACCGCTTATGTATATTAAAAGTTGGCTGATGTAATAATTGAAATATGATTATAACGATTGAAATCGATAAAAAAAGAACCAATAGAAAATATCAGGTTTTCTTTGAACATGGAAAATATCATAAACATAATATGGCTAATTTTGCTAATTTCTGCTTATGTATTCAATTGTATAATTGGCATAGCTAGGCCACCCTTGGAATCTGTGACCGCCCTAAATATACTTTGCTCCCTGTCACCCTCCCGCAGCTAGTTTTTTTTCATATAATTTTCCTACTTGTACCTAAATTTCGGTAAAAATATTTAAAAACAGTGTGGCATTTGTGCTTAGGCAAACCAACGTATGAAATCGCGGAAAATACTCATGTATACTCAAGTGTTTCGAATGATGCCAAATGTTACCCGGCTAAAAACACCTAGCAGTGTTATTCTCTTTAACCGAATACCTTGCACTCAATTTCTGATTTTAATTTTATAGCGTTTAATAGTCATTAGTCGTATGTTCCACAAATTATTAATTTTTGTGTTACTTTAAAAGTCGGCCGACATTCAACAAAATGTATAAACGTTAATTTTTAACAATTTAATGTGTATAAAAAACAAAGTAGTTTTGATTCCAATTTTCTTTGCGTTCCGTATAATATGGTTTGCAAATAATACAAATATAGCGTACGATGGTGTTCTTTACATAGTTAACGTACACACAAAGCCACTGTTTTCCAAAACCATATAAGTTGTACTTAAAGGCGTCGAGGCCAAGCGAATGGCGTTACGCATTTTTACGAATACCACATCTAATATCTATCACAGCCATATCTAATATATAAAATGACATGGGCCCTATATTTGAACTTGGAAAAGAAAATATAATACACTATCTCACTCATGGAAAAGAAAATGATCTAAACAAGATTTTCCGCTGTCGGCATTTATCAATTACCGCCTATCGTTTGTTCGCGTTCGACAGTTGACACGTTATATTAATTAAAATGTTTATTTTCTATTAATTTGTCGAAAAAATATTAACGCATATTATAATATATTCGCCTTTTCCGTTGTATCGTGTACGGTGTTTGATATCTATTATGTTTAAGTGTGAAGAAGTTTCGGTGTGAAGCAGTTTCCGTTGTTTTACATCTGTCAATTTCGTTGACCCGTTAAGATAGAAATCTTTAATCTAATAAAACATGAGTGTTTAAAGGACCGTAGCATTTATGATATTCGTTTCAAATTATTTGTAATAGTATTTCTTTTTGATTTCTTAAAAGCCTTATCAATGTTGGTGTATTTTATACACTTCATTTGAAAGTAAGTAAGACTTTTGCTTCAATTGTTTTTTTAGAAATGCATCATTGATAATATTAAACATTTTTGGCGGGCTGCGACTTGCATAAACGTTCAGTAAAGATTTAATGAACCAATTTATTATATGAACATATTATATTCAGTGGCATTTAAACACAATTTAGTTGCCTGCGATTGATCAATTAATATTTAATAAACCATTAAAACGATTAACTTTTAATGCAACTTGGCATCCTACTTTTAAAATTGAAATAATAGCTCTATAATTATCAGATAAAATGGTTCTCCAGAACACTTGAGTAACCGTGTGGTATATAGCAATTACCAATTGACAGTTCCTTTTTTATATATAACACAACAATGAGGCAATTAAAATAAAGTACTTAGCTTGCAAAATATTTGTCCAAAACTAAGCGAGAACAAAAGTCAACTAGGAGTAGTTCGGTTTGACTTTTTCTATTTGCAATAATATCTAGTGTAAAATGCCAGCACAATAGGGTCGGGGCATGGAGATACTCATTTTTTTTTTAAACAACTGTTTTACGAATTAATGCAAACAGACGAACAAAAAAAAAATATTGCTAACCGAGTGTCGTTTAGACACTTTACCTTTTTTACCAACTTTTTATTAACACACTTTCTAGTTTGTCGTTCCGGATGAAATGTTGCAACTCAAACGATGATGATGAGCTTGAGATAGGTTTTATTTACAACAATGTGTTTTTATTTATTTTTTGATATAATGAGCTGTTATATTGATCATGATGTTGATGTTCTACTTAATAACGCTATAGCTGCTGCAACTCCGTACAAAGTCGACCATTTTAAAACTACTACACAAATTATAGTGGTTTCTCTTTTTTCTCACAAATAAAAATAATATTACACAATTAGTAAGTAATAAGTGTTTATTTGAAAAGAAACAGAGAATTTGGAATTATTAAAGTCGTTATGACATATTATATTTTGAAACGTTTTTTAAATAACAATTTAAGAGATTTAAAAAAAAATTATAACATTATTAGACATATTAATTTATTCTTCAGAATGTCATTTTTTAGGACGTTCGTCTGCTTCTTTTGTTTCTGAATCAGATTGTTAAAGATTGCACGAACGTTCCCAACGTTTTACATAAACTTGGAGGTATTCGTTCAATTTATGTTTCCAATCAAGATATCCTTTCTTTGTAATCTTTGAATCCAATTTGGCTTTTCTTTGTTCAGCAATTTTTGAAACGGACAATCCAGATTTTTCACAATGTATTATAAAAAGATCACGAAATATGTCTGATGTCATGGAAACTAAAACAAAAAAACATTAAATTTAATTATAAATAATATATGTTATCATAGAGGCATGATATGTTGCAGTTGTCAATTACATAATTTATTTTAGCTTCGATGTGCAGCTGAAATTATATTGTTTTTGTAGTAGTGTGTTTTTATTTGTCTAAATTTGTGTCCGGACGAAGAGGCGGTCATTTTGTTTTTAATTTTACTTTAATTGTGCATACTTTTGGGTCTCACCACATTTAATAGGATATTGAATACTATATGGTAATTTTGAACGAAAATAATTTCTTAAAAACCAAATACTACTTTACAGTTTCGCATCGAAGAAAAAAAATAATATTAATCGACATATAACGTGTGTAAAAAATGTTTACAATAAGAGGTCCATTCCTTATAGGTTTCGAAATATGATTTTACAAATTCCCATTGGTCATTGCTGTCACCCATGTATAGGTAATAATCGTCAAGTCCAACTCTTTCTTCAATAATGTCGACGTCGTATTCTATTAACGTCAATTTTCTACAACCCTCGAACGCCTCTTCTATAAGCTGAAAATTGTTAATAAACACGAAGTTTAATTCCATAAAAAATCTGATTATAAAATTTAAATACGATTAGACCTAAATAAATACCTATGATTAAGAATCAATAAAAAAAAAAAATATATATATATATATATATACAGAGTAATTCATTTTGGTTAAGGCGCTAATTTTCTCAAAAAAATGTGAACATAAAAAAAAAAAAAAATTCTAATTTTTTAAGGTACACAATGACCTAATTTTTTCAATACTGTGGAAATTTGTATCTCCAACCCTTATACCCCAAAAAAAGGGCAGGACATCACTTTTTCAAATGGCAACATATGTTTTAAATTACATAAATTTGTTGATAACACATTTTTAAAAAAATGCTATTCATTGAAGTTTTAATTTTCATCCATTTATTCGCTTTAATAAGATTAAAAAAAAAGTTGTGTTTTTTATATATAATTTAGAAAATATTTAAATT